GGGGGGGGGGGGGCAGCACAACAATATGCAGACAGGAGCTGGGGTCCATGATTCAGCATGACTGTAGCTGGTTTGAGGAGTCTGCATTTACGCCCCTTTACGCCCCATCCCCCCACCCAGTCTAGGATGAGCAATAGCAGTGGTCCGGCGACGGCCAGGGACGATCTGCCCCAGAGCGACGGCACGTGTGACGCCTGCGAGCCAGATGAGGCGCAGCCAGCGGAACAACTGTGTCGTCTCTGTGGCTTTGCGTTCTGCAGTGTCCATGCCAACCAGCACCAGCGCAGCATGCAGCATGTCCTCGAACCCTATGCCCCCCCCATGGTAGATGGGGCCAGCATGGAGGCGGGGGCCAGCATGGAGGCGGGGGCCAGCGGTGGGTCCCCGGAGGACGGTCCCCCGGAAGGTGGAGGGAGGCACCGCGATCCGGTGACGGTGGAACGCCTGCGATGCAAGCTGCACGGCCACGAAGGGTCGCTGTACTGCAAGCCGGACGAGAGAGTCATCTGCGTGGTGTGTGCAGTGCAGGGCGAGCACCAAGGCCACGAGATCATCACGTTGCAGGAGGCTTACCTGTGGCAGAGGGTGAGCACAAGCACCCCTGCGCTTCCTGCTAACATTTACTACTCAGTAAACATTTACTAACATTTACTACTAACATACTGTTCCCTTAGAAGGCCTGCAGAGGGCATAGCAGTTAGGGACAAATACTCTTATCCTGAAATTTCTTTATTTAAGTCCCATAAGGGGCCCTTGCTGTACAGTATAACAGGCACTTAACATAAATCAGACCATTAAAATCTCCAGCGGTATAAATGTGTAAAATTAATGCATGAAGTTGGTCCAGATAAAAGCATCATTTAATCATTGAAATCTAAGAGGGCAGCCCTCTGTCTTAATTTACCTCAGAATGGCACGCATCCGTTTAAGAACTGGGGCAGAAGAATAGATTTGTGTTTCCAAAGAGGATATATGTGCAGAGCTGAACAGTGGATGGTTCACTGCTTAGTCCAGGCATCCCTGCTCACTTTTCTGATTACCAGTATTGCAAAGGGACAATAAAAGAGCTCTCTAAATGACTATAGGAATGTATTCATAATAGGGCATGTTCTGTTGGTTAGAATTCAATAGCACTGCGGTACAATGATTTTTATTTAAACTGCAAGTGGGGAAAATGATGCTAGTTCATTGTCATCTTGATCAAGCTGTTATAAAGCTGTGTTAATATTGGGGAAATCTTATAATGGAGCTATATCAAAGATCTGCAGACTGGGAAACATTAAAATATCCAAAATATCTCTGAAAGGCTGTAATGTCACCCAGAAATGAAATATTGCTGCACAGAGTATTTTTAGAATCAGATGGTAGTGTGTTGGACTGTGTTGGACTGGCTTCCCATCTCAGGTGCCTGAATCCCTGACCTACATGGCATAGGCTACCAGTTCATGATGCCCCCACATTAAAGGAACAGTTATGGAAGATGGATGGATGGATGGATGGTTGAGTAGATCTGAAGGGTATTCTCAGGATGCATTCTACTCTCTAGTGCATTAGTGGAATTATGGTTTCGTTAAGTTAGTAAGAAGAGGGGCTGGCCCATGTGACGATAGATAGAGGGTTGGGGGCGGAGCTGAGGTGCCGGGGGGGCAGACGTCGAGGGCTGCTGAATTGATAATGTTCTCCCTCTCGCTTCTCCTGCAGAGCAAGGCCGGAGTCGACCTGGTGGGCAGTACCCATGAGATGGCGGAGAAGATCAAGTCCAAATGGACCAGTCCAGAAGTAAGCAAGATCTATCTGGGTCACCTGGGGAGGGAGAGGGTGGTTTCCTTGGAAACCGTCCTTCCTACTGCCTGGCGAAGGTCATAATCCAGGATATGTTACCTCATCAGTATGAAAATAACGAGCATGTGATAGCAGCTAATTACACCCCAGAGCTTTTGTCTTACTATGCGGCGAAGGGCAGCCCAGGCTGGTGAAAATCAGGGCACGGGATAATGTGGCAAACTCCTGCATGCAGTATCCACGTCGCCTGATGAACTCAGGCAGGCACATTTAAAGCAGCTACCCTGTGGGGCACGCAGACAGCCCGCCAAGCGTAAATGAGCTTCAGGGCCGCCCGCCGCGCTGCCGGGGTGAATCGGGGCCACCGATGCCAGTCCCCGGCCCATCTGCCAGTCTGACGGCCTCCGGAGCATTTAGCATCGGCGCCGCTGAGCGCCTTCATCAGGCCCTGCGCCCTTCCTGTGCCAGGGGCTGGGGAGGCACGCGGTCAGACTGCCAGGGGCTGGGGAGCGCAGGCCTGTCCGCTTGGCATCAATCACCGGAAGCTGATGGGCCTTTCAGGGCATGGATAATGAAGATTCAAGGGGAATTGGGCTATTGGAAAGCACGGAGTGGCTCGCTGCTGGCTTTTACAGTCATGATGGTCACTATAAATCCGTCATGGCTGATTTCTCTCATTATATACCCGTCATCTGCCCCGTGTAGGGAGCACAGCAGGGAAGGACAGTTACACGAGTGTGAGTAATGTGGATCAGCGTATAAGCGATTAATCGCAGCATCCGGGGAAGGTAGCACGTGCTCAGAGGACGTGGTAGCTATACTGACGCAGGATGGCTGCTTCAAAATTGAATACCTAAATTTCCCTGGGGGGGGAGGGGGGGGTCAGGATCTAAGCTCTTTCTATCACGATTGAATGTCTCAGGATCTTAACATGCATGGGGGTAGCTGGGTACCAACTGCCACAAGGAAGATATCGTCACGTTGCTTTTGTTTGCTTTTCTGTATAGATTTTGTCTGGGGGGGGGGGGGGGGGAAGGTCAGCCTATCCTCCATTTACTCATTAGGCTCCAAATGCTTAATTAGGCCCCAAACCTCAGGACTGAATGCTTAAACGAGGCCCCCTATCTGCACTGGGGGCCCCTTCTCTTCTCCCCCAGCAGATTTCTGCACGGTTGGACATTCAGGCAATTGGCCTCCATCAATATTTTATGCCTGACCGATGGGTTAAGAAACACCAGGTCTTAGTAATATTTCAAAGCCCCATTCCCCAGCCTGCCCCAGTTTGTTTGCCAAGGCTTCCTTTAAATGTACATTTTTTTGAGCACTTGTGCGAGTAAAGCGTTAAGCCGCATAGAGAGCTGATTGAAGACATTAGAGTCAGCCCCCCCCTCCGCATACACAGAAGTGTGCAGGAGCACCCCAGGAGTGTTCGGGGCCAGGGCCGTGAAAAATATGTAGAAATTTCCAAGTCTCTTTGGATTTTCTCGCTTACATTTTATATAGTTAACAATGACTTTTTTATTATTACTTACGAGATTGGTGGGCACTCCCCAGCACCTAGGGGGGAGGGTCAATGCAACCTGTCTCTTTGCTGAATATACATTTTTCTGTTTTCTTCAGCAGTTTTGCAGTACTAAAAAAAAGTACTATTATGAATGTTCCATCCCAGTGCTTTGAAATCGAGCTAATCTGATTGGTAGTGTAAGTAAAATAGGCGGAATAACATTTTCCAGTGTTTGAAGGGCATTTGCATTGAAGGAAGCTTTGGCTTTTATGGAGCGACATCAGCGATTAAAGCTGTTATTTCACTCTTGGTTCCACTGATGTATTTTCACCTCTGTAACATGTTTAGCTTTTTAGGCAAAGAACATATTTATCTCTCTTGTTTATTTTCCGTCTGCTACAGTCATGCGTTATTATGTCCTCTTTGTGCAATCCGCCCCTCCAATTCAGTGATATGAAGCTTTATTTAGTATTTATTTACCATTTTCAAATATCCCATCTTTGCTTTCCTTCGGGACACAGACACACACACACACATACACACACACACACACACGCACACACATACATATACAGAGTTGAGAGCAAAGCTTGGGCTCTCAGCACATTGCCCTGCCTTTTATTCAGCACCCCTGTTGCATTCTGGGAAAGGTTAAAGGCCTTGCTCAATGGACCAGTGGAGATGGGACTATCCTGCTACGGCTCTATCTAGCGACCTTCCAATCTCAAGCTCAGAGGCCTAACCCACTAAGCCACACCGCCGCCCCCGGGGTCGATTCAGCCCCGCTTTCGGGCCACACCTCCTCTGAAGCCGCTCCACCACATCACCTTTCATACACTCCTGTTCCTTGGCCACATCTCCTCTGAAGCCGCTCCACCACATCAC